TGTCTCTTCTACTGCACCTGCTGTCTCTTCTACTGCATCTACTGTCTCTTCTACTGCGCCTGCTGTCTCTTCTACTGCGCCTGCTGTCTCTTCTACTGCGCCTGCTGTCTCTTCTACTGCACCTGCTGTCTCTTCTACTGCACCTGTTGTCTACTACTGTCGTCTCTTCTACTGATGCACTGGTCCTGAGAATAATGGAAATGTATTTTATCTCTTTCAGGAGGACAGAAGGGAGATGTGAGGTCAGTATCAAACACCCCTTTCTCCCTCTTTCTCTTCCTCGGCTCTCTTCTCTCTCTTCTCTGCTTACTCTTCTGTTCCATAGTGCTCTCTTGCCCAAAGAGTGGCAGTTCCCAAGACATTCTCCAGTGATCTGAATTTGAAATAATGAAAGCCATCAGAGGAGTCTTATTCCTTTCTTCTTGGTCTAATTAAAAAGGAGGAATCAGTCTATGTCCCTTGTTCCTCTGACAAATGACTTTTATTGATCTTAATAGAAATGGTAGCTCTTTTGAACATGGATATTTGAAATCTTAAAATCAAACATTTGTTTTGTTGTCCAGGGGTTCCCAGCTTATTGGATATTAAACATTATTCCATATGGTGACAAACCAGAGAGATGGAAATCTGTATGTGGGAGTCTTCTGGGTGTTCTAAATTATAACAAATCTGATTATCATGATAACACAGAGGAATCAAGGGTTCTGAGACTGTTTGGTTCAGAGTTATTAAAATCTTTAGGGGGTTTAGAGATAGGAGTTCGGTACAGACATCTGATATCAGATATCACACAGTCTGATCCAATGAAATTGGGGATGTCTTTGTTTCCCCTGTTGCAGCTTTTTCAAGAAAAGGAATTGTTTGCAGATTACACCCAGAAAACCAACACCCAGCTGAAAGTGTGATCCCCAGTTCTTGGGTTTCTCTCTGCGCTGACAACTGAAAGAAATCCATTGAGGAACAATCTTCCTCTAACAGCTCACCTCTCTGGTGCTTCAGCAGTCTGACAGAAACCCCTGGCGACCCCTCTGGGGCTGCTGTTCTTGTGCTGTCTCTCCATCTAGTGTTCCAGTTAATGATTGTCTCTGTTTTCCCTGTCACAATACAGGCCAGAAGATGCCATCAAACACACTTCTACTGAAGATGCAGTGAGTGCTTTATTATTGTTACTGTTGTTGAGATTTCCCAATATTATAAAGTGTATTATTATTTTCACTACATAAAGTGTCCGTGCTGTATTAACCCCTCTCTCTCTCAGTG